ATGGACCGTTGGATAAAAAGAGAGGTGAAATAAGTTTGCATTTGGGAACTACCCCTAAGTTAGGCTTTACAGGGATAATTCCTTGTAAAATCTTAATATTAACGGAGAAATTTGACGGAAGTGTGTATAGACGGTTACCTAGATGGTTATACATCAGAGGAATGATATACATGAGGAGGGGAAAAAAATAATTTCATTCAAATTGTCTTTGAAACGCATACAAATTGTACCAGTCCAAAAGTTATTTCTAAAGTAACTTGAGAACACAATGTACATTCTTCCAAATAACTTTTGGAACATAAATCACATAAATTATGAACAATTCCTTTTTCCCGTCACAGGCAACCGCACTGCAGAAAACCCAGCCCTCGACTGGCCAAACCGCCTAAAGATCATCAGAGGCATCGCCAGAGGCCTGAACTATCTCTACGAAGAGTTCTCGACGCTGGCCGCCCCCCACGGCCACCTCAAGTCCTCCAACGTCCTCCTCGACGACAGCTACGAGCCCCTCCTCTCCGACTACGCCCTCCTCCCTGTAACCACCAACAGCTTTGCTTCCCAAGTCTTGATCGCTTACAAGTCCCCTGAGTATAAACAGCACGGGAGGATATCGAACAAGAGTGATGTGTGGAGCCTCGGGGTACTCATTCTCGAAATCCTCACAGGTAAAATTTCACATCAAGTATGCATCAAGAAACTGTAACTTGATAAGAAAGAAATTTAATCACACTCAAACAAAAGTTTTCCAATACTTTAGATTTTAAAACATCCTCAAATAAATTAAAATTTCTAATAGTCTACACGCTTTACCGATAAGGCTATAAGAAAATTTCTCCTGAAATCAATATCATGATGCTGTGAGAAAATTATTGGGCTGGAAAGGCTTTATATGTTTAGCTATTCTGCATAACCAAAATTGATTCGAAAGAATTTATCATTTTTAAGCTGAGTTTGAACATATTAACCAGATATTCATCAAATTGTTTGTCAAAATGAGACTAAATCTCATCTCATGCCTTTCTGCTCATCAGAGTCATATCTGAACTGAAATGGATGTGAGATACTCCTAATAAAGTCTTAATCATCTGTCTTTTTTCCTTTTTTTCCCATTAGTTATGATATGATTCTTCAAACGAAAGTCATCCTGTATAATTGATTCTTAACAGGTAAATATCCTGGCAATTACTCGAGACAAGCTCGAGGGGGGTCTGACTTGGCAAACTGGGTGAACTCGGTAGTAAGAGAGGAGTGGACAGGAGAAGTGTTCGATGGAGAAATGAGGAGGTCCAGAAACGGCGAGGGAGAAATGCTGAAGCTGTTACAAATCGGATTAGGATGCTGCGAGGCCGACGTGAACAAGAGATGGGAGCTCAGGTATGCCCTCGAGAAGATCGAGGAGCTCAAGGAGAGGGATGCGGAGGAGGACTACTCGTCGGTCGTGAGCGAGGGGGAGGGGTATTCATCGAGAGGAGGGATGACCGAGGATGAGTTCTCTTTCTCGACGGTCAATAATGCTTGATGAAATTGAATTGATCGTGGTTAATAAGGTTGTGATTGCATATGTTAAATTGGTCTGTTGGTTTCTGTAGAGATTTTGAGATTAGTTTTGAAATTTTGCATGATGTCTACTGTAGTTGACAGTGTTAAGAAATAATTTAATACATAACGAAGTAGATAAATAAATGCACAGTGGAAGGCGATCGATAGTCATAAACAAATGAGCGAGGAATTCGAGTCCTCATCATTGTATGAAGGACAAATTTTCCAAATAGACCTGTTTAGAAACATATTTTTAAAAATCAATTTTTTTTGAAAATATTCACCATTTTCAACTCAGTTTCAGCCAACTAGCTTGTTGATAATAGTGTATTGTAGTGGGTTTTAGTCCCACATTGCTTGGGAGAACAAACCTCACACTCCTCTACTTGTATAAATATATGTGCACACTCAATATTCAATTCAAGGGAAATTTACCCAAGATTCTCTCTCTCTCTCTTACTTTAACATGGTATCAGAGCTAGGGCTATTTCCCTTTCAATAAAATTTTTAACGCTTTTGCGTTCTTTTGCCAAATCTTGGCCTTATTGCTTTGCAGCCGTTTAATGTTTTATTTTTTTTTATTTTTATTTTTAATTATTTGGCGTTCATCTGCCAGATATTTTGGCCTTGTCGTTTTGCGGCCTCTTACCGCGTTTCGCGTTCTCGTTTAACCTTCGGGTTCTATTTTAAACCTTCGGGTTTCATTCTAACCTTCGGGTTCTATTTTAAACCTTCGGGTTTCATTCTAACCTTCGGGTTCTATTTTAAACCTTCGGGTTTCATTCTAACCTTCGGGTTCTATTTTAAACCTTCGGGTTTCATTCTAACCTTCGGGTTCTATTTTAAACCTTCGGGTTTCATTCTAACCTTCGGGTTCTATTTTAAACCTTCGGGTTTCATTCTAACCTTCGGGTTCTATTTTAAACCTTCGGGTTTCATTCTAACCTTCGGGTTCTATTTTAAACCTTCGGGTTTCATTCTAACCTTCGGGTTCTATTTTAAACCTTCGGGTTTCATTCTAACCTTCGGGTTCTATTTTAAACCTTCGGGTTTCATTCTAACCTTCGGGTTCTATTTTAACGGCATTGTCGTTTCAAGACCGTCTCTCGGTCTCAAATTAACGGCATCGTCGTTTCAAGCCGTCTCTCGGCCTCAAACGAACGACATTAGTAACAGCATCTCGACATCTTAACGTCTCAAGATTGCTGTTATGGCTCCTTCAGAGAAGATTCCCAAACCACCTTTGCCCCTCAATGATCAAAGTGACTGGGCAGGGTGGTCCACCATTGTCACCAATGCCTTGCGTGGCGCTGGTTTGCTTGATCATCTCACCAGTACGGGACCAGTTCCACCGTCCATCAGCACTGTTGCTTCATCCAGTACTATTGCCTCTGGCAGTGGTGATGTCGATCTTCAGACTGCTCGTGCTCTCTATGTCAAGGAGAGTTCAGAGTGGCAATTGCAGGAATTTCGTGTTATGGATTATCTCACTCGCTGTGTTGGCTCTGGTCTCACTGTCGAGATTGGCTCGCTTCCCTCTGCTCAGGCCATGTGGACTCGTCTCACTGAGCGTTTCACTGAGTGCTCGGGTGCACGGGAGGCATATCTTCTGCAACGCATTTCTCTACAACGCAAAGGTAGTTCATCTCTGCAGTCCCATTTTGGACAAATGCAAGCTTTTTGGACAGAGTTACGCTCCATGCTTCCTGGACGTAATTCCACATATGAAGACTGGCTAGCCTGGTACGAACGGCATGAGGTGCATCAATTGTTTCAGTCCCTTCCTGAATATTCAACTATGGCTGATCAACTACTTCACCAGCCTCAATTTCCGACTTTGGCCTCAGTTATGGGAGCTCTCACTGCTTATGAGACCCGGCAGCAGACAGCACGACTCAATTTGTCAACAGACACTCCTACCTCTTCACTCGAGACTGTTTTGTCTGTACCTGTCACTGCTCCTGTTATGAATTATACTTCTCCACAGGCTCCCTCTCCACAGGCTCGATCTAAGCTCTCTTGCAAATATTGTAAGAAGGAAGGACACCGCATTGAGACATGCTTCAAGCTTCATCCTGAGTTACGTTCCTCAGGTACTGGACGTGGTCGGCGACCCCCTCAGTCTCAACCCTCTCGTACACCAGGATTGTTGGCCAATGCTATACCTTCTACTACTTCAGACTCTACTATTCAAGCTATTGAAAGTCTTCGCCGTCAACTTGATGCTTTTCAACATATCACCTCTACATCCGCCGCACAACTCTCTGGTATGCATTTTGCTGGTTCTTCAGCTAATCCTTCAGTCTCTGGTATGAATGATCTCTGGATTTTTGACTCTGGTTGTTCCTTTCATATGACTTGTAATGCCTCACTTTTATCCTCTGTCTTTACTTCATCCTCTCTTCCTCCTATCTACACAGCTGCTGGACAACCATTGTCCATTACTCAGTATGGCTCTATTACCCCACAAAATGATCCATCTGGTCGTCTAACACTTGGTCCCGTCTATGTGGCTCCACAATTGTGCTTGAATTTAATTTCTATTAGCTCTTTATGCATGGCGGGCCTGTTTGTCTCATTTTCTTCTGATACTTGTATTGTGCAGGATCCACAGACGGGCAAGACGGTTGGGGCGGGTCGTAGGAGGCACAAACTGTATTTTCTGGAATATCTTCACCTTCCAGAGTCCATACGTCCACGTTCTCTTGTTGCTTCTCTTTGTTCGTCAAAACCCTCTACCTCGCTTCCTGCCAATTTATGGCATAGACGACTTGGTCATGTGTGTAATAAAAGGCTGGAGAGTCTTATTCAGTCTGGAGTACTTGGTCCTGTATCATCTAGTTCTAGTATTGAGTCATGTGCTGGTTGCAAATTGGCTAAATTCACTGCTTTACCATTTAAAATGAGTACATCTGTATCCACTTCCTTATTTGATTTAGTACATTCTGATATTTGGGGGCCAGCTCCTTTGCCTTCTTCATCTGGCTACTTATATTATGTTAGTTTTATCGACGATTTCTCTCGTTTTACATGGGTTTACCTACTTAAGAATCGCTCTGACGTACTTACTGCTTATCAAGCCTTCACTGCTATGATTTTCACTCAATGGCAATCTCGTATTAAAGTTTTTCGTTCTGATTGTGCCAAAGAGTACCTATCCTCTGCCATGCGCTCTATCATGTCCTCTCATGGGACTATCTTTCAACAGTCATGTCCCTACACTCATGAGCAAAATGGTGTTGCTGAACGCAAACATCGTCATATCCTCGATACTGCCCGATCAATGCTCATTTCTTACTCTGTTCCTCGTCGTTTCTGGGCTGAGGCTATTCTCACCGCGACTCATGCCATTAATATCACTCCATCTAGCTCTCTTTCCGGTGCTACTCCTTATAGTCGTGTTTATACTCATCCTCCCCGTTATGATCTAGTTCGCGTTTTTGGTTGTCGATGTTTTGTTTTTCTGCCATCTCACGAACGTGATAAATTGTCTCCCAGAGCAGTTTCTTGTGTTTATTTAGGAATTAGTTCAGAACATCGAGGTTATCGTTGTTATGATCCCGCAACTCGTCGAGTTCATATATCTCGTCATGTTCAGTTCGAAGAGGATTCTCCATATTATTCTACTTCTGATGACTTTAATTTCCTCCACTCTACCGATCATGGCCAAGAAATGGCGGCAGCTGACCGGGATTCCGTACATGGTGGCTCGTATAGGTGCATACAACCCACTGCTCTTCAAATCCCTCTCCCAGCGCGCCAAGACGAAACTGGTCATGCGTGCCCACCACCCCTTGGCTAGTGAGGAAGCCCAACCATAGCATCTATAATCCGATGGAGGTAACCTTCTCCCAAGAAGAGCCAGATGGTTACTCACAGTAGGAGCAGCTGCTGACACCTCGCCTGGGGGTGCAGTGTTAAGGCCCATAATCCCTGGTCGAAGACCACGAACATCATGATACCCGTTAGAACCAGGAGTCTTGTGATGAGTGGCATATCCACACTGAACTCGCTCAGCATCATCAGTAAGGTGCCAAGACATCTGTCGCTCCACGGCCTGTCCCTTCAAGTGACTGAAAGAATATTGACGCGGAATGGAGGGAATGTACAAGACAGCCCCTTCGTCGAGAGTCAGCCAGTGTTCCTCGGTGAGGGTCAGCGTAGCAGGATCCTCTAAATCAAGCTGAGTTAACTGATAATACAACTGTCGATACTCCACTCCAGCAGAATGTCAAACTTTGCTCTACTGACGGTGAGCCTCTATCTGATCCTACCCGATATCGACATCTTGTTGGTCAGTTGGTCTATTTGTGCATCTCTCGACCAGATATCTCTCATGCTGTTGGTATTGTCAGTCAATTTGTTAGTGCCCCACGTTCTGTACACTATGCTGTCTTATTACGGATTCTTCGGTACCTCCGGGGTACTAGCACTCGCTCACTTTTGTTTCCTGCTACATCTAAGTTAGAGCTTTGTGCATATTCTGATGCTGATTGGGCTGGTGATCCAACTACCAGAAAGTCTACCACAGGTTATTGTATATTTCTTGGTGATTCCCTTATTTCCTGGCGAAGTAAGAAACAAGATGTTATTGCTCTTTCCAGTACTGAGGCAGAGTATCGTGCAATGTCCACAACAGCTAAAGAGATTATTCATCTTCGTCGCCTTCTCAGTGATTTCGGTATTTCTGTTACGACTCCTACTCCTCTCTACTGTGATAATAAGAGTGCCATCCAGATTGCTAATAATCCAGTATTTCATGAAAGGACCAAACATATTGAGATCGACGCTCATTTTGTCCGCGAAGAGGTCAATCAGGGATACAGAAAATGTGAATTCTCACCCCCAAAGAAAGAGGCCGCTGGAAAAGATATCGCGGGAACCTCTTCCTCGCTGTGCTGCGAATGAGAATGACTCCTACGAGGTCGAGATCGGCGTGGAGACATTGAAAAGTTTCTTGTACGCAAACTCACTTTGTTTGATCCAACATGAGTTTGAAGGGGGCTGTTGATAATAGTGTATTGTAGTGGGTTTTAGTCCCACATTGCTTGGGAGAACAAACCTCACACTCCTCTACTTGTATAAATATATGTGC